GCACCATCTCAGGGTCTACGCATGGCAGTCTGGCGCCTTGCTGCTGCCTCTCCACAATCCCAGTGAGAGACTTGTCTTGCCCCTCGCTTAGGAACACTGAGGCAAAGAACTCGTTGAGGAGTTCAGCCTTGTCCCCCCCTGTCCGTCACCAATTGCTTCTGCCCCTTTAGTAGAGGTCCTATTCCTCCCTGGGCCTTCCTTTTACTCCCTATATATCTAAAAAACAATTTCTTGTTATCTTTAACTTGGGATGCCATCCTCAGCTGCATGGTAGCTTTGGCCCGTCCAACTGCCTCCCTGCAAGCGCAGTGCTTGGGCCGTAGGTTGTGCGAACATGTGGTTGTTTAACATTAAAACGTGTCCTAGATTAACTTCTGCGAAATCGAGGCGTGGGGGTGCCTTTTCTGGATGACCTGTCAAAAAAAAAAAAAAAAAAAAAAAAAAAAAATCGGTGAGAGTTTGAGTGGGAAGCTTTCCACAAAACAGAACAAGTGATATAATTCTAGGAATGGACCCTGCTGACTTTAACAGGCACCCCAGAACAGCAGCCCGTTTCCTTTTAGGCAGTTTCAGTACTATCACAACATGTGTGCCAGGACACAGGTTCATTTCATGCGTGATCAGAGATGGATCCACGCCAAGGTCTCTGCAGGAGAACAGACATTCTGGATTTATACATATTCACCTCACAGCAAGGCTGTGCCCTTATAGCAGGATCTCCTTTGGTTGCTTTCTGCCTGCAGTTCTAGGTCCTTTAGTATGGTTTCTCTGTCCCTCTTGGTGTTTGCAACTCCTCAGTATTGCGGTCCAGGTTTGCTTCCTGCTATTCTAAAATGCCTCTTCCCCCAACTCAGTCTAATCCAAAATACCCTCCATGGCAGGGATGATTGGTAGGGGCTGGCATACCCCTAAGGCAACTTGAAGAGCCCATGGGAATGCTAAAATATACTAAGAAAGTTTGGAGTCAAAGTGGGATGTCAAACCGCCTTCCCCTAGCCTGAACCCAGATGCAGCAGCAATAGAGCAAGTAGAGCTGCTACAGGTATTAATGCAGCAGTCACTCATGCCTCCCCATCCCAGGTGTTCACAGGTCACCAGCAGCGATCTGTGCCTCCAATTTTGGCATTGGGCCATGCCCCTGTTCGCCACACCCTCAAATTCCTATTTCCTCCATGGGCCATGCAGGCCCCGCAGCCACTCAGTAGGTTGAAGTGCAGCCGGCTGGCTATGAAGTTTGACACCCACGAGGTAGAGCCAGGTACAGAACTCAAGTCCCAGTCCTATGCTGCTAATAGTCTATTATTTTGGATGCACAGTTTTGCTCTCTTTTTCACTCCCAAGCAAACCTTCTCTTCCCATGCAGACTCAGAAGAAATAGACAGAAAACGAGCAAGAGTCAAGAACAGTGAAGGTGGCGACGTGCCGCAGAAATACTTTGTCGTCACAAATAATCAGCTTTTACGAGTTAAATACTTATTAGTCTATTCCCAGAAACACAGGAGGTAAGTACCCTGCTTACCAAGTCATGAGCATATGTGAGCGGCCAGATGCACAGATCTCGTTTATGCAAGAACTGTACAAAATGAAGACATGCTTCTGTGCATGAAAAGCAAATAAGGGAAAAAGTAATACTTGATATAAATAGTTTGCAAGATTTTAACGTAAGATGTGCGTATCTTATTGGCAGGCTGATATCTGATCTAATTCTTGGGTTTTTCTTCCCCCCCACCTACTCTACAGGCCTTCTAGTCAATCTTGGTTTTCCAACCATCGCTTTGCTGTACTGATGACGCTGTATCTACTGCTGCTAATGGTGATAGGTGCCACCAACTCGCCAGCGTTCCTCTACTACTGGCACAGAATGTTTGACTCCAAAGAATGAACTAGCCGAATCACATGCTATTATGTTCACCATGTGCCTTACTGATGGGGAGTCGCAGCCTATTGCATCTACCAAAGCTCTGGAAATGCGAGTTCCTAGAGCTTTTTGGTTGTATTCCAACTGCGTTGCCTTCATGACACCCTGTTTATTCTCAAATAGTTTTGTTTCTGCAAGTAACCAGTGAGTTCTGTAAGAAAAAGGGGAACTGCCAGTCTCATCCTGTGGGTAGTGAAGTAAGTGAACTGTTCTGAAAATACATTTTAGTTATGGACTCCAAGAAACTTGTATTTAAAATTGGTGAAAATTTCAGTGTGGGAGCTCTCAAACATGTTTAAGTCTGCCAGAGAAATAGATGAGTAGCGTGTATGCGTGTCCACTGGGAAGGAAGAACTCTCTTTACCTCACATCAAGGTAACTTGCAGTAGGTTTTACCGGTTTGATTGAGAAGTCCCCCTCTGCATTTCCTGAAGGGAAAGTACAGTTTCTCATGTGATGATGCAGGAGGGGTGGAGGGGAATATTTGGGCACAGTGATTGTAACAAAAACACTGCGAAATAAAATAGCCACCCAAGTGAAAGGACCTGAAAGTTGTTCTAGATGCTTTACAGTAAGCAGATAATGGATACTGAATGCATGAGATCACTGTTCACCCCAAGCAGCCTGTTATTTGAAGGGCTGCTCTGTATGTCCAGCAGGTTAAAATTAAAGTTTAGGATTAACACAGAATTAGGTCATCTGCTACATCTCAGGTCAGACCTCCTCTTCTACGCCAGCGAGAGAGAAGGGGCAGGTCTGTGCCAGATTCACACTGCTGGCAGATCTCGCAGCGGCACTAGAGCCACTGGGCACATGTATTTGTACCATGGCCTAAGGTAGTTGCGCGATGCTCTGGGATCTTCTCCGCATACATACATGCCTTCAGTCCTTTTCTGCATCTGTTTATGACATGGCAGTACCTGCAGTGGGAATGCACCCAACATTTTTTAACACAATATTGTAAAATACTAGAACATGACAGAGCCAAGTTAATCCTGCCAATTGTGTGAGGACAAAGCAATATCTGCCTTTGGGTTCTCTCTTGATAACTCACCACATGCACATCTCTAATGTATTTTCCAGTCTACATAATTCACCAGAAAGATTGGTTTTCCCCTTTCAGAATTATGGCAGTTCCATTTCCCAGGACAGAGTTTTGGGCTTAATGCAAATGCAGAAAACAGCAATTCACATTTTGCTTTGAACTGAAGTTACAGTTAGGGCATCCCAGTTTACTGCTAGGGTGTATTTGAAAACAAAGCCTATAAGTTTGTGCAAGTTGTCTCTTGCAGCTTGTTCTAAACATCAACGGGGGGATCCATCCCTGTCTGAACCTTATGTAAAGCTAGGGATGCGTAAAGATGACAGACTGAAAACAACAACAAAAAAAGAACTCTGTTGCGCATGTAATGACACTTGGAGTACACTTAAGGTC